CTAGTGCGTCCTTGTTCCTAGTAGCGATGCCAGGAGTCCCTAGTAGCGTCCTTGCTCCTAGTAGTAAGGCCAGGAGCTACTAGTAGCGTCCGATCGCTCCGTTCGTAGCGATGCCCTTTGCTACTAGTAGCGAACCTTGTTCCACACGACACACACGACATCGCCCGTACATCGGCCTCGCCTGTACTGGTGCTCGATCCTCCAAGTTGATGTTTACCCTTTCGTCATCAGCCTGGATGACCAACCAGAAGGACAGTCCCACGTCAGTGCCATCCAAACTCGCATTCAAGGCGAAACAGTCCTGGAGAACTGGAGAAAAGGACGCCCAGCTGAACGAGACTGCAAAAGGGACTACAATGCGCAAGAGGAGATCAAAAGAATCTGAGGATGAGTCTACCCTTGCCTAACGTCAAGTTATATAATGTATGCACGTCACTACGGGGTACTCTGTCAGTCATCTATCTGGACACTGAGATCAGTCCTTGACCTCCAAACAGTTCCGGCCATAAGTGACAAATGGTATCTGCTCCGGGCACAAGACCTTAAGTGAAATTCTCTGGATCCTGGAATCCACCCTTCAAGGCCAACATGGACACAGCTTGCCAGGTCCGTTTGCCGAGAGACAGAGAGCCGGGGACGGTCAACTTTGGGTTCGACCATGATGTACAAGGAGCGATTGGCGCTGAGATGGAACTCCTCTCCATGTCCACTACCTCTATCATCCACCTCATGGCAAGCGGCCACAGATTGCTCTCTATACGTAAATACATGTTGCACGAGGAACATAGACACGGTCACCCATCAAACTGAAATGGATGTGGGTCAAAACGTGGACACCTAAACAGTATGTTGACATCCCCTAAACAGTCGTCCGTGTGTGTCTTACTCATTTGGGAGAAGCAAGGTCTGCAGGGTCTTAGGATTTGGACCCCGATACCGATGGCCTCCAACCTACTAGCGATGGCCTCCAACCTACTGGCAATGACCTCCAACCCAAGAGCGATACCCAAATCTACGCAGGGTGAGGTGTGTTCTCTTCGCTCCAGGACACGCTGACATTGATCACCGCCGAGCCATGCCAGTCGCGCGCCGCGCGGAAGCGCAAGCGCCCCGGGCCCGATTGCAGGCTGTTGAAGTTTTCAACCTGGGCAACCCGAGAATCTATATCTTCCTTATGATCGTGCAACTTAAGACGATGGACTCGACTCAAGCGATTTTAACAGAATTAAGAAAATAATAAAAATAACAAAGAAAACTCTCTGTGAACCCACAATTTGGCTCTACTTTGCACTGAGGCACTGTGGTGTTGAAGTGGATCGCTGAGGTGCCAATGAGGAAGCCTTGGCAGGTTCTGCAGGCGCCGGTGTTGAGTTTTGTCTGATGGAAACTGTTAGTGTGGGTTGGATGAAGGTACCAACAATTGTCCGAATGCATAGAGAGGTGGTTGATTAGATGAATCCATGTTCATGGATCAATAATAAATACTATATGCATATAAATGCATATATACATGTTGCTTGGATTGGATGGGTCTCCTGAAACCTAAGCCAAGCAAAATGCACCTGACCATCGCAGTTGTAAAATATAAAAGGACGTCCCCTACGTAGAATGGGATTTCTGATTTGGCTGTCCTTTTGTTTATGGTGGGATGGATATCCGTCCGATACAAGCACGTAATTACAGAACAACAGGTTTGCAGGGTAAGCCGGTAAGCCCTTTGTCCATGTAAAGAATTCCTGTTTAATGACAGCATGCGCTCACCACAGATTGTCCGAGAAGAGTGCAATCACTGGAAATGAGCACCAGCCCTCGCCAACCTGCGCTATCTATGCAAGCTCCTCTTAACAAGGTTGTAGTTGTAGTCAAGACATTTTCTCAGAAGAATGAGACGGTCAGCGTAGCTGTCCACCAATCGTCACCACGATGACAGAACACCTTTATCTGAGCATGTTGCAAATCATTTGGGAGCACAACTTGCTGACCAACGAAGGCTTTGGATGCTGTCACTGCCCAACTAAGAAGTTTAAAGAGGCCCCCAACATGAGCAAAAATGGCTGAAGAGTTAAGACGCAATGCAATGACCTCAATGCCCTCATCATGTGGGACATCAGGGCGGTAAGAGAATCCGACTGCGTCGAGTGGCAGCCATCTTCGTCCAAAGTGTATTCCCATGGTTCCTTACAACAAAACAAGGTTCTTCTCGGCCAAAACAAGTTCAGGTCTTCTTGGCCAGGAAAACGAAAAAGACCACGGGCACCAGTCGCGGGAGGATCAATCCCATCTAAATGCAGCTGATGGATGACCATCTCCATCTTCAGATAAAAAAAAGGAACCTCCAACAATTCATTCAGATCAATCAATCTGGTGCGGCCCTAGGTTATGGGGAGTCATCATGCTTGGAAGTTTGAGTGGTTTGCCAAAAGGGATCCAAAAATACATGAAAGGACTCAATAATCTGTCAGGTTCCTAGAATTCCTAGTATATATTGTCTGCAAACTCTTGGAGTCCATAAAGGTGTGGCAGTCGTTCCTCGTGTCCAGCTTAGCATCTTCAATGTGAACTCCCAGAAGTCCACACATCATCAACCTGAGCGACTCTCTGGAGACTTCTGGGGCCTCTGGAGACCGTAACCATGTCTTCAGTTTTGATTTCCCTCCTTGTAAGATAAGAAAGGTCATGAACATTGGATTGTTGTGCATCGCCACCACTAAGCACCAAAGAAGGACAAATCACAAGGAGCACAACAACAAGCAGCTGCAAACAACCACCTTTCACGTGAACCACAAGAGAAAGTATCTCTTGTGCCTGAGTGGGGTACACCGCCAGTTGTTTGCAGCCTTGAGAACGTCTAAGCAAAGCCAAGTCGGCGTATTCCACTCGTGTCCCGCTATGAGTTCAAACTTGAAGCTCATTTCGTTCTGATCTGCATCGATGTCAGTCACAAACATCGGGCCCAGCACTAGGTACTCTTCGGCATCCTCCTGAAACAAAGCAGTGTTGTCTGGTGCAAAGGCACCCTGAAGCGGGACTAATTACTAGGTAATTAGTCTTCTTGGAGTGCAGCCGGGGCAGCAAAGGGGATTACATGGCCGCAACCAGTGTCAAAACCGTTTGTTGGTCTTGTTCCTAGTAGCGTCCTTGTTAGTAGTAGTAAGGCCAGGAGCCCCTAGTAGCGTCCTTGTTGCTAGTAGCCCCGTTCGTAGCGTCTCGTTGCACGTCTCCTGGAGTCGGTAGGAGTCCAAGAAAACCTCCAGAGAAGGACCATCGTTCACACCCGCCACTTCGATCTCCACGAGGATGCTTTGAGGAACTCCGCGCGAAGAGATGCCAGTGGATCGGCCTAAGATCTCCTTCAGGGTTCACGAGAGCCTATGAAACAAGTCTGTGGAATAGCTTCTGAACGTCTGCTTCTGGGGTCTTTTCGCTTTTCAGGGACATACCGGAACCGAATATGATTGGAGTATATTGGAGTCCGAATGTTGCCTAAAGAATCTTGCAGTGCTGGTTTTGCCTCTTTTTGGAACACAATGAGCTTGCGGCTTTTTAAGGGGTGGACAGTGGGAGGCACAGGAAACGCTTCCAACAAGGCCACTGCAAACCTTCATCTTTTCAGAACGTCCGTCTCCTCGGAGGCCTGTCGAACAAGACTTCGACAGACAAAGCATGGGTGTTTGGCGGAAGGGACTGAAGAGGAACTTTTCAAGCGTTTTGTGAAAAAGTGAAACTAACCGTTCCTAAATATCAAAGTTTTGACACTCAGAGTTGCTCAGAGCTCAAGTCATGACTTATGAATTGCAATGTTGCGTAGCTGGCCCACCGCCCACACCAGCCCTCGGTGTTTTTGTGCCTGCTTCTGACATTTTTGACATCTGTGTGGAGAACATTGTCATCGATTTCACAATTATCTTCAGTTTCGCAACATTGTCGTCATTTTCACAACATTGTCATCGATGGATGGATGTTGCCATCGATTAGTCGTGTGATCAAAATGGGGTGGAGGGGGTGGAGGGGGGTTGGGTCGTGCTGGAATGATGACGTGGATGTCATGTGGAGAAAGTTGTCAGAAATTTCATGAGATAATAGGAGCAAAGAAGCTACTAGGGGCTCCTGGCCTTATTACTAGGAGCAAAGAAGCTACTAGGGGCTTTTGGCCTTATTACTAGGAGTAAAGAAGCTACTAGGGGCTCCTGGCATCGCTACTAGGAGCAAGGACGCTACTACCAGTGAGTGTGAAGGTCGAAGGTCACAAAGTGCCTGACCAGCTTCGTCTTCCGACAGTCTGTGGCACTTGCAGCCCCAAAAGAGTTCTACTCAGATTAAACACATTTGTGAAAGCATACGGAGCCTGAAAGAAAAAGAATGAAAAGGAGCAGCTTTGGCAACTGTGCTTTTCACACCTAATGCAAACCTCGATTCCTTTGGTCTTGGCCCCAAAAAGACATCACTCTGAAAGGTTCAAACACTTTGATAGTTGCCTGCAACTTTACTTGACTTTTGAAGTGTGAATTCTACTGGGAAGGGCAATCTTTCCCAAAGGAATTACGCTGTTCAACAATTGCAATCATCGAGCAAATCTTCCCCAATGAAATTACGTACATACAAGATCATACAAGCAGCTTTGCAAATGAGAAATATCATTTCGTTGCACGGCCCGATGTGGGCGGTGGACCTAGGGTCCTATTCACTCATGCCAGGGCGATGTGAAAAAGGTCGTATGCGAATTGGCTGACCCCAAGGAACCCCCCCGAGCCGAGGAGGAACCCCAAAGGACCCCGGGCCTCGCCTCTGTTTTGAAGACGATGAACTCCAGTTGAACAGTTCCAAAGAAGTCGGGTGGAGGTCTATAGACCAAGTAGGGAAGCACTTCGTTCAATCCCTGGCGGTTTCGTCGACGCGGCCTCCGCAAAGAGACTCTTAATTACAAAGAAACACCTGGAAGTTGAGCGGACATAGGCAGCATGGCAGTCTAGGCCCAGACCTTTCTTAGACCACCTTGTAAACCAGCTCATGCGAGCTGCAATGCAAAGTGTTCTGGCCTTGACCCGCAAGAGCCACATGAGAGATCATTTTCACTTACTATTTACGTCAAACAAGTCATCCAAATGGTCGAAATGACCCCAAAGCAAGGGCCTTGAGCTGACAGCCTGTATTGAAGATCGAAAAAGGTTTCTTTGTTGAAATCAGCCTTTGGGATCGGCCTTTGGGATTGTCCGGTTGTCGGCCAGTCGGCCATGGCAGAATCCATGGAGAGTGGTTTGTCCCGTAGGGAAGCATGAAGGGAAACACCCCCCTTGTGTATAGGGAAAATATGCGGTTGAGCCTGTCACTCAACAAAGATTTGCATTTACAAGTTGCAAGTAGGTTGGAGGCCATCGCTTTTTGGTTGGAGGCCACCGCTATTGGGTTGGAGGCCATCGCAAGTAAAAAGGATCCTTCTTTTCATCACATCCAGTGACTCTAAAAAGGTGGGATCTTCAACACCCCATTGGATATTGCGTTTTGGTTACCAGACTCCTTCACCAGTCCACAGCCTAACGCAAAACTGTGGCGGTCCACAACCGTGCCTTGACCAAGCCATCCAAATGACACTCCCGACCAGGAACGAAGCTCGGGATCGACTCTGGCCAGCGGACCAGTTTACAGTCGCCCTCTGCTGGGCCATGCTTCCTGCGTGTTACTCAGGCCAAAAAAGATGTGGAACACGCCAAAGCATGGGCGTGTTCAAGCACATCCCAATTCGAAGAGACTAACGTCCGATACGGTTTCAACGGAAAAATACTCATCATAAGCATTCATAAACTCTCCCCACCAAATCCAGGACAAACCACTGGCTTTCCGCTCAACGAATCCACTTTTCGGGGTCTCTATGGATCCGAAAGGCAGTAGCGATGCCAGGAGCTACTAGAGTTTCTTGTTACTAGTCGCGATGGCCTCCAACCTACTTGCGATGGCCTCCACCTAATAGCGTCCTTGTTACTAGTAGAAAGCTGAATCAGATTGGATTGGCCCAGTAATAAACGAAGCCAGGGTCACATGTTCGGCTCAAGGGTTCCAATGACGAAAAACTGCACTAGAAAACAGAAGGAGGAGACATTTTAGCAATTGCCCTCAAGCAAATGAAATTCTTGTTGAGGATGTTGGAGAGGAGATAAAACTACTGGACCCTATTTTCTCTCACTGTGCCAAGCTGAATCAGCAAGCAAGAACCGTCGGCAACGCACAAGAATCCTCGTACCTCACCTCATACAAATACAATTGATTTCTACTACAATACCCAAAGTTGGCACGCGACAGCCCCCGCCCCCCCGGACTGTCCCTGTCAAGCAAAAAGGATATACTTGTTCATCCAGGTGGTATTCCTGTTCACGCCATGAATGGTCAAAGCCAAGTTGCACATCCACCATCAGGAAGAGATGAGTATCTTTCGTGGTCAAATTGAGATGGCCTGAGTGCCACAGGCGTCAAGAGACCACAGCCAAATCGTTTCACCGAGAAAACAAGTCTTGACCACCATCCCAAAAAGACCTTCCAAGGATGTGATTGAACAATTCATATCCTTCACTGGACATCAGACCACCATCCATGTTGACGTTGCCAAGGAACCAATGGAGATCTCAGAGTCTTCCATCATGCTGAGCTTATTGCTGCCCATCCTTGTGATCTTCAGATCTCTGAAATCGAGACAGTAGATAGGTCTAGATTTCGTTGAAGCACCTATGGCAATTACAAGATCTTTTCTATGTGGGAACATATAAAGCAAGTAAAGTATCAAATGACCAAATGGGGCAAACCGAAAGTTTGCACAGACAATCAGTTATTGGACCAGCGCTCTCTCTCTCTCTCTCTCTTTCTGTCTCTACTTGCTTTTCACTTCTGCAGGGCCCTTCATCTAAGATGGTCGACATCTGAGTGAAACCCCAGTTGGCTCCAGTACCGCTGAAAAAACAGGTCGTTGCAGCCTGCCTTTTCACATTGCAAGAGTGCAAGAATGGGCTCACCAGGAACAAACCGCTGTTGCAAAGACGTTCTTGCCGAAGGCCGCTCGAATAAACTTCAGCAAGATTTCTAGCTTACCAGCTGAGGTTCCTCTCAACACCCTTGAAGGGGTAAAGTCCAAACATTCATCTGTTCATCCGTTTCCAAGCCAAACTCAATTGGTCAAGCCTCCATTGAGCCTGATAGCCTTGGCAATCTGGAAGCACCAGTAGGGCAATTAGTGTCAAGGGCTCGTGATGACCGCTGTCCACAGTGATGTTGAACTGCTCCTGAAGCTGGCTCTGTTCGTGTCTCAGCTGTTCCTCTCGGAATCCGTTCCGGGCTCTTTCGTGCAAGACAGGAGCTGGGTTGTGAATTGCATTTACCTGCCCAAACAAACAGACGCTGTGACACTCCCCCAGAGGTCAACCTTCACGCAACTCTTTCGTATACAAGTCCAGCTCATGACAAGCAGCATATCCCCTAGAGCCTCCACTTGGTTCACTCCACTTGGCCAAACGAAGGGCCCAACGGCAGGTACCACCGGTTCCACCCCCCCGCGACCACGCGGATCCGCCAAGTCGGAACCGGTCTCCAGGTTGGAACAGTCGTTGTCATCCCAGGCATAGCGGACATCGGCCAGGAAGCGGTTGCGGATGTCGGTGCTGTTGGCCACGAAGCGCAGGCGGGATTCCCCGTTGTTGGTGCCATCGGCGAACCAAAGGCCCCCGGTGTCGCCCAGGAACAAAAGACCTGGAAAGGTCAACATGTTGACAGCTTGGTCTTGCCAAGGAACATGAACTTCAAAGTTGTTTCTCTCAGAGGTCGAGGATTCAAAAGTTCTCGTGAATATTCTATACAAAGGTTCTTAAACTGTCTTGTTCAGGTTTCATTGAGGAACAGTAGGAAAGCAAGGTGCCCGAGCAAATGATTTCCTGTGTCATCTCTTGTCTGTTTTTTCCTAGTTTTCTTAACCGGCCTTTCGACACCTTCAGCTCAATGATGCAAGTGGTCACGATCGCCCCGGGAGGTTCGAAAACGATGTCCGTGAAGTAGTGGGGCTTCGTGTTGCTCATGATGAAGACAGCACCGTGGAAGGCATCCCCAGAAGACAGGCTCAGAGTCGGCGGCGTGTCCGCAGACAAAATATGGATGGGCAAGGTCAAAGAGGTCACCATTGGCAGCAGTCCTAGCGCCACGAAGCAGCGAATCGCGCAGAGATTCGCGCTGCTGGTGTCCATCTCAATCAACTGTTGGAATCAAGTCCAGTCAAGATACAACGAATCAAGATACTCAAACAGCTTTGATCCAAGACTGCCCATCTACCTCCTTGAATGCATGTTTGGCACTGAGCACGACGATTTGGAACGACGCCGTTCTTGAACAGCTACCCCCAAAAGCCACCAACCAAGGACAGCTACTCCAACAGAACCTTGGATCTTTGAGGCTACAAGTAAATGACACATGATGACAAGCTAGCTGCCAGTGCAAAATGCCGTTTTGTCCTCAACTCTTCACTTCACACCTTGGCTGAACAACGAACAAGGGAAACGTGCTCACCGTCACCGGGCATGAAGCCCGAGGTCCCGCTCCTTCCGGGGTGGCGATGGTCCGCTCAATGACCCGGTGCACCGAGACGTGCAACGCGGCCTCGGGCGGCTCTGGGGGCAGCGCCGGCGGGAAGAAGCTCAGCCGTTCCAGGGCAGCGTTGAGACCAGCGGCGTGGCCTCGCACCAGCGGTGTTTGGAGCGGTGTTTGGAAACACCCCGTGGTCTCAACCACTGTCATTGAGCTTGAGTGGGCTGGAGCTTAAACATGGTCATCCCCCACAAGCATAGCATTCTCATGCCTGTGAATGGCACACATTGAATCGCTGTTGTTGGATGGGATGAGCTGGATTATGGTGATATATTCCGGTGCCACCCAGGCCTTTATCTTTTGGTCCATCCAAAAGATAAAGACTGGAGATGACCTCAGGCTGAAGAAGTATCAGATTGTCAGAGAAGTGACCACCCTGGAATGCGTTCAACTGTTAAGCAAGTTCTAGTCGATTAGTCGATCCATTTCGTAGTTGTTCGCCCCATCACATCAACCCTGGCACTCACAGTGCTGTTCTTGGGTACGTCCTTTGCAGGTCACATGCTCAAAGCAAAGCAAAGAAACACAAGACCACAAATCCCAAGAACAATACCAAGTAAAGAAACATTGCTTCCTGTTTGTTGGAGGAAAGCGTTGATCTCGGAAACTCAGGTTCAGAAGCTGCTAACGTGGGGTTCGGAAACTCAGAAAGGTGCGTTCGGAAACGGGAGCGTGGGGCTCGGAAGCTGAACAGTTTTTGTTTATAAATATATATATATATATTCTTATCGCATCCTGTAGCCTCCAGCTGCTTGGGAAGCGGCCCCCGCACAAAGCCTTGTTCAAAGGCCCGGATGAGGCAAAGACAGGGCCAAGCCGGCGCGGCCAAGCAGGACCCACATACGGACAAGGCGTGGACAAGAAAGAAAAGTGTCTGAACCCGGAAGAAACAAGTGTCTGAACCCAAGAAGTTTCTGAACCGTAGTTTCTGAACCCGTGGTTTTAGTTTCAGAACCTGGGCCAGTTTCTGAGCTTTGCTTTGTTTGTTGGAGGAGGGCTGAAAGCTCAAGCTAATTGTACTATCAAGGCTCAGTCATCCGTTGTCTTGTCACTTGCTCAAAAAAAGACTTCTACGTGGTTCCAAGCCAGGTATTTCGGTATTCTGATGGAGGCGACCAGGTAGCCCAACAAAACTCCGCGTCCTCCTCCCATGTTGCCGGCAAGGCCACCCACCAGAGACGGAAAGACCTCTTGCCAGCCAGCGGGGTGGCCGGGCACTGAGAGGAAGCCGAGGGAAGCGTTGAGCTCGAGGCGTAGGAAGCAGGAGCCATCCACAGCCGACTCACCTGACACAGTGAAGAACGGTCGACCGTCGGTGAAGAAGCGAAAAGAGGCGGAACATCGCAAAAGAAGACATATGACATAAGAAACCAATGGATCAAGTGGAAGTTGAACTATTCAGCACATTTCAGAATACAAGAAGAAAATTGATGAGCTGAGTCCAACTTCAAGGCCTTTGACTTCCCACCTCATGGTTCCGCTACAATCAAACGAGCGTCAGTCAGGATCGTAGAGGGAGATACCTGCTAACGAACACGAGGCAGAAGCGGCTTGGCATTGGTAGCCACTGTTCTTGATGCTGTCCAAGACCATCACCGAAGCCGGATCGTTGAAGACAGGGATGACCCGTACCACGACGTTCGACTCCTTGGTTTCTGCGAATTCGCCACGAAAACACTCCCAAAACATCCTTGGACAAATAGATACAATAGTAGATACAATAGGTGCAAGGTTGACCAGATAGGATGCAGTTGGCTACAATGACATTCTTCCAAATTAACCAGTCCCTTTCCAAGAAGAACAATATTCCTAAAAGGCAAAGATCTCTTTGTTCCAAGATGCGCACACCTCTGCTCCGTGATTCATGACCATTCCAGACACTACAGTGAAGAGCACCTGACAGAGAGATCAACCGCTCGACTGCGTGGACACCCCAAACATCATAAAACACAAAGTTCCAGCGTGAATCGCCGCCTGAGATGACACTTCAGGGCGATAGGCTTTCAGAAGTATTTCCAGCCCCTCCCAAATTGGAAGGACTCTCGAGGCGAGCGAAGGCTTGTAATTTGTTCCGAATCTCTCGAAACTGATTGGCATCCAAGTAGTGTGAAGGAACAGCAGTCCCAAGAGTCTTGACTCAAACTTTCAGTTCACAAGCTGACCTTCACCACTGAATTTCAAAGCAAAATTGGTCTTGTGACATGTGTCTTGAAGTTTTGTCAGTAGAGTAGTGCTGAGTAGTGTGTGTGTGTGTGTGTTCAAATGTCTTCCAATGCAGTGAGGCACTGACACGTAGCCATTGAAGTCGAGATCAGGTGCAATATACATAAAATATTGCAAGAAGCGGGCAACTTCGAAGTGCGTGCCAGAAATGACCTTGGCGTTGCTCCCCTTTATGAACCTGGGGTACGTGTGGAAGGTCAGGATCCCAACAAGAAAAATAGCTATCAAAAGCGCCATCTAACCTCCGGTGCGCTCAACATGAGAAACAATATCTTAAGCTTGACTGCACACCAGAATCTCCCGATGCATTGACAAGCAGGATGGCATAACGGGTGTCCACGTGTCCGCTGAGTGGCCGTCTCTTTCATGTTATCAGAGTAGGGCTCAAAGTGAACACCTGTCTCCCTCTGCACAATCGCCTGGCCACTCGTTCGTTAAAAATCAAACACGCAATCGATTCAATCACATTGCTGCAGGTAGACCCAGCAGTTGAAAATATGTGAAATCGATCGAATGGCATTTGCCGCGCCTGCCAAATGGAATCGTTCCTTCCTTGTGCCAGGTAGATATCCACCAAAGGCTTCATGGCGATTGAGCCTTAACGCTCCGATCAGATCTCAGAATCCCAGCCGAAAGCATGGATCCCTCACAACCCAAGCTGCCAAAAGTAGCATGGGGAGGCCACAAGTACTAGTTACTAGCAGGTTGGAGGCCATCAATCTTAGGTTGGAGGCCATCGCTCCCTGGTTGGAGGCCATCGCTCTTAGGTTGGAGGCCATCGCTCTTATAGGTTGGAGGCCATCGCTATTTTGGG